CTTTTGTCCCACATCGCCTAGGGGGAGTCCTGGACTAACTTATAATGCTTGGGGTTTTATATTTGTGTAATGCGTTTTAAAGCTGTGAGGGTCAGTAGGCCTAAAGCGGACAATATTACATAGTGTAGACCCGGGCTGTTATAACAAAAGAAAAGTGGCATGTCCTAATCAAACACCCATGTACTCAACAATCACAGTAGAGTGCATTCTAGAGGCCAAATTGCACGATCTCAATCTGGAAAGGCACCTATTTGTGCCAAATAAATCGGCAGATGGTCCCAGTTCTAGCACTTAAATATACGGGATGAAAGTTTTAGGACTCAAAGATTTATTGAGAGAAGTTTTAGGACTTTTCCTGTAATTGGTCGCATCGGTAGCATTGGCCAAATATACCACAAAACATTTCCTGGCATGCGTGCATAATAATTTTTTAGTTAACATTGTAAATGCTATTCCCCAAGTTTATTTGGTGTCATTAATGTAGGGATACAACGAGAACAATCGTATGTTGGTGGAGGAAAAAAATCGTGCTGAAAAGAAGATTACCTAAAAAATAGGTATCTGTCAAAAATATAAGTTAAAAACTTCTATAATTATCATAGTGTCAATAATTTTTCTATATATTGTGAGGAAGTGCTAGGGAGCATAATAACACTTGTGGAAAGTGAGATAAAAGGGCATTTTGAGTCAATATTTGTATAGATAGAGAGATCTATAATATAAAAGATATTGCAAATGGACCAATCTTAAATTTTGGTGCTATTCTTTTGTTAGATTACTTAGGGTGCGTTTGGTAACCATTATGTTCTCGAAAACAATTTCTGCTCAGAAATGATTTTTTTTTATTCCATTCTCGAAAATAATTTCTAAGCATTTGAAGGCATTTGGTAACTGCCCAAAATTTCTATTTTTGGAATAAAAAAAGAACAGAAATGCGTTTGGTAACTGCACAAAATTTCTTTTTATTAATAATATTTTGAATTTTTTTTATATTTCTTTCTTTTATTTTTCCTTTTTTTTCATTGTTTTTTTTCTTCTTCTTCCCCTTCCTTAGCCCATGGCCAGGTTGCTGGTGCTGGCGGCTGGCCGCACGCCAGGGCCGGCGAGGATTGCCCACGCCAGATCCGACGAGGGCGGCCCTTGCCCAGGCGGCGAGGGCGGCCCTTGCCCAGGCGGCAAGGGCCGCAATGCCCTCACCGGCCTTGGTTTGTGGCCGGCGGCCGGCGACCGACCACAGGCCAGGAAGAAAACGAAGAAGAAAACCAAAAAGAAGAAGAAAAAAAAATTCTTTTCTATTTCTGATTCTTATTATTATAATGAAAAAGCAACTTTTTTTTTGCTTCTTGATTTTGTTCCAAAATTGATTTTGGGAATAAATTTGTGCAAATTTATGCTCGAGAACAAAAAATTTACCAAACGAATTTCTGTTCCAAAACTGATTATGGGAACAAAAAAATAGAATCAGTTACTATTTGGCCATTTACCAAACATAGCCTTAGTTGGCAACATCAGAGCTGTTCTGTCTTATCAAGGCATTATGTATTTGTTGCCCCTCCTCCTTCCACTGGTTTGTCAACGAAGGTGTCCATTGCGAATTTCTTTCGATTAAGGCTTTTCTATTTTAACCTATTAACATAATCAAGTATTTCTTATATTACTAGACACAAAAAATCTATGGAAATTACATTGTATTTGAGGCCATCTCATGTTCATGAATTTATATTTCTGCACTTATAAGTCGATCGAAATTTTACAAGTTTAACCCGTTTTAACCCATTTCCATGTAATGCAAATCTAATGACCCATACTCGACTCAACCCATACCCGACCTGACCCATATTGCTAAAATACTTCCATATTTAACTAAATTTAGAAAAACTCATACCTAAATTGAGATGAGAGTGCAGAGTGAGTAAGCACGAGAATGAGTGAGAGCGAGAGAAATGAGTTAAGTTTAAATAAGTTGTAAACCCATTTATAATTCATTTACAACTCATTTAACATTCATATTATGTTTATATCAATTTATGATCTATTTGATGAATATAACTAACCTATTTGTGAGCTGATATATGGGTTAAAAAATGAATATATGACCCATCTTGACACGTGTAGTATTAACACAATAATATTATACTTATGCTAAGACATTTCGTACTTCGTTTTAACTATGCTGAGTATGACCGCGCAAAGCCCACTACTTTCCATGTTATTCATGAAGTTTTTTCCTAAGACAATAATTTGGAAGACTCGTGGGATGACTTTGACTAGAGCAGGACAAAAGACCAATGACTGCCGAAGGTCTTTGTAAAATGTAAACGCAGGCCTTTTGCTGCACATAAACCAAAACCATTCTGTTCTTTTTGTGAATTTTCTTATGCTAGCAACTAATTATGTTTTTTTTTTGGCTACATTAAAATAATTTCGTCGTGTGTACAATGTCCCTGCAGTTGGATAGACCGAAGCACCTCAGCTAGTATCTTATACAGATAATTGAGCACGAGGTTGCTATCCAAAATTGTCATCTTCACCTATTTCTCTAAACAAGTACTGACCAGCTTGCAAATAATTAGCATGTGCATGCGCTGATCAGCGACTATGAAATTAGTAGGAGCCTCGAAATTTGTGCTGGATAAAGGGTAGATATGGAATTTCATTTCCCTCGACAAAAAATTGAAAAAAAAAGAGTCGTACGGCCATACTTTAAAGTCGAATACTTAAGACTTCTATAGGATTACTAATATTGCAACTCAACTTCCAAAAACGAAATTATTGGGACTGTTAAATTCCAGATAAGAATAATGCGCCAGGAAGAAAACTGCAAAAAACATGGGCTTAGGCGACAAAATTCAAATTGATGTTTGGATGTTGGTTTTATTCGTTCAAGTTGTTATTGTCTTCATCCCATATAAATTATATTTAAATTGATGTTTTTCGGGCCGTATGGTGTTTTATTTTGGAGGTGTTATCTGCGGATCGCCCCAACTTTAACGCACTACGACTGGTTCACCTCCCGGCTCCCTGGGCGATCTTAGAGGGGGCACCACCCCCGCTTCAGCCATATGCGTCAGTAAAACATTGATTCGGACGGTCCCTACCAAACAAAAAGAGCGATTCTAATATATGTAAATAGAAAAGAATCATTAATTTATGTCACATTCCCGTTTGTATTTTATAAGATCAAGTTGTGGTCATATGAAAGCAAATGTACCTAATTCCTTGTATTTGACTAACAATAGCGTGTGTTACTTGTTCAAGGTGTTGTTATTTTATAGCAAATTGCATGACCACAAGTTTTTTTATTTGGAATATATAAAGGTTTTTCTTCTTTTCTTTGCATGGTTCCATAGAGGTCAGGCTTAGGAAATTAGTGCTTGTACCTAGTTGCCGGTGGCCATACCCAAGACCTTGGTGCTCATGCCTGAGGCCTTGGTAGCCATGCTTAGGTACCCAACTCCCGCACCCAAGTCACCGGCGGCCGAGCCTTAAGACCCTAGTGCCAATACTCGAATCCTTGGCAAACATGCCCAAGTACTTGACTCCTGCACACAAGTCAAGGCCCGGGTTCACGAAGGCCGAGCTTGGGTCTCTTGAGGTCGGGTGACCCCAATGCCCGTGCCCAAGTCGTTGACGGTCATGCCTGAGACCTAAGTGCTTGTGCTTGGGTCCCCAATGATCTTGTCTAGAGGTAGGCTGTCGCCCACAAGTTAGGGCCCCGATCCACGGAGGCCAGCTCGTGTCTCTTGAGCCCAAGGACCATGGCTCCTGTGCTCGAGTCCTTGGCAACCATGCCTAAATACCTGGAACCCGTGCACAAGCTCCTGGCACTCGAAACCAGTTCGTCGATGGCCAGGCTTGAGTCTAAAAGGCTGGGCCCAGGTCCTTCAAGGGCACACTTGAGACCCTAGTGGCTATGTTCGAGTGCCCGACTCCCATGCCCAAGCTACCAACGATTGAGCCCGGGTCCCTAGTGCCCGTGCTTGGGTTTTCAGTGGCTAGGTGCAAGAAATCTCGTCTCTTGCAATCGAAACCCCAGAGGCTAAGTAT